TTAAATAGAAAATATTGTGTCACTAACAAAGTCAGTGAAGTGTATTTTTAAATTAGACATTTAATATATCCAGTAAACCAGGTACTGACAAGATTTCAAATTGATATCGATGAAAAGTGTCTGTTTTGTCAAATTGAAAATGAAACTACAAGTTATTTATTCTTTGAATGTATTTGCACCAAGATCTTTTGGATGGATGAACATTTAGATCAACTGGTGCTAGGGTTCGTCTTGATGGGAAATATGTTTTACTTTTGTTTCATGATTTATATCAGAACAAAGTATATATAATGAATCTGCATGGTAAATATTATTTACAGTCCATACATTACATTTACATTTACATTTACGTCATTTAGCAGACGCTCTTATCCAGAGCGACTTACAGGAGCAATTAGGGTTAAGTGCCTTGCTCAAGGGCACATCGACAGATTTTTCACCTAGTTGGCTCGGGGATTAGAACCAGCGACCTTTCGGTTACTGGCACAACGCTCTTAACCACTAAGCTACCTGCCACATGCAAGTGGGCAAAAGAAAACCCCAAAATCCTTTTTTTTTTTTTGAGTTTGAATTTAATTTTAAAATGGTGCATAATCTGAAAAACTGTAAAGCAAAACGAACTCTATTCCCTGTGAAGCCTTGTGTATTTTTGTTTACATGTGTATAACCCTGTGTATAACGTTTCTGTGTTATTTGGTCGATTTTTTTGTAAATTGTGTTATAATTGTTGTTAATAATAAAAAATACATAATTTAAAAAAGACCTCGCCCACCTTAGCCCTGGTTCATTGAGTGAGGGAATTATTTTGAGGGAATTATTTTAGAAAGACATAAAAAGTATTTGCTTGTAATTGTAATGTTGCAGGGGATGCCAACCATCCTCCTGGAGATTCAAGGAGAGCTACTGGGTGCCAGGCTTTTGCTCCAGCCCTGCTCGAACACACCACATTCTAAAAAATCAGCTGCTCCACAGGACCTTGATAAGATGACTCTGGTGTGTTTGAGCAGGGTTGGATCAAAAGCCTGTACACCCAGTAGCTCTCCAGATGGAGGGTTGATGGACCAGGTGTTTTATACAGTAGTCTATCAGTGCAGTATTTTACTTTGTGGGGGGTTAAGTGCCTTACTCATGGGAACAACAGCAGGAGATACTGTATAATACATGGGATCAGAGGCCAGCAGCCTTACATTGTCAATACCAGTGAAAATAATGAATTTTATTTTGTGAAGTGGTTCCTTGCATCATACAACACAATTTTCAGTCACCTTTTTGGCCCAATAGCGTTGCAGACCTTTTTGGGGGGGGGACAAGTGACTTGAGCCTTTAGACAAGTAAAAAAGTTAATGTCAAGCCCTGATAACACATAAAGGGTGATGTCTACCTTGGGTCACTTGGGTGATTCTAAAATTACTAGATGAAGGCTTTGAAAAATGTGGAGGGAAAATAGATTTCTGTGTTATAATTAATCATAGGACAGTAACGAAAATGGGTGTTATTAATGATTAAATCCATGATTTCATAAAAATAAAAAATAAAACACTTTTGACTGGTACTGTATATATACAGTGAGGGAAAAAAGTATTTGATCCCCTGCTGATTTTGTACGTTTGCCCACTGACAAAGAAATGATCAGTCTATAATTTTAATGGTAGGTTTATTTGAACAGTGAGAGACAGAATAACAACAAAAAAATCCAGAAAAACGCATGTCAAAAATGTTATAAATTGATTTGCATTTTAATGAGGGAAATAAGTATTTAACCCCCTCTCAATCAGAAAGATTTCTGTCTCCCAGGTGTATTTTATACAGGTAACAAGCTGAGATTAGGAGCATACTCTTAAAGGGAGTGCTCCTAATCTCAGTTTGTTACCTGTATAAAAGACACCTGTCCACAGAAGCAATCAATCAATCAGATTCCAAACTCTCCACCATGGCCAAGACCAAAGAGCTCTCCAAGGATGTCAGAGACAAGATTGTAGACCTACACAAGGCTGGAATGGGCTACAAGACCATCGCCAAGCAGCTTCGTGAGAAGGTGACAACAGAACGGTGAGGAATCAGCCCAGAACTACACGGGATGATCTTGTCAATGATCTCAAGGCAGCTGGGACCATAGTCACCAAGAAAACAATTGGTAACACACTACGCCGTGAAGGACTGAAATCCTGCAGCGCCCGCAAGGTCCCCCTGCTCAAGAAAGCACATATACAGGCCCGTCTGAAGTTTGCCAATGAACATCTGAATGATTCAGAGGAGAACTGGGTGAAAGTGTTGTGGTCAGAAACTCAACTCGCCGTGTTTGGAGGAGGAGGAATGCTGCCTATGACCCCAAGAACACCATCCCCACCGTCAAACATGGAGGTGGAAACATTATGCTTTGGGGGTGTTTTTCTGCTAAGGGGACAGGACAACTTCACCGCATCAAAGGGACGATGGACGGGGCCATGTACCATCAAATCTTGGGTGAAAACCTCCTTCCCTCAGCCAGGGCATTGAAAATGGGTCGTGGATGGGTATTCCAGCATGACAATGACCCAAAACACACGGCCAAGGCAACAAAGGAGTGGCTCAAGAAGAAGAACATTAAGGTCCTGGAGTGGCCTAGCCAGTCTCCAGACCTTAATCCCATAGAAAATCTGTGGAGGGAGCTGAAGGTTCGAGTTGCCAAACGTCAGCCTCGAAACCTTAATGACTTGGAGAAGATCTGCAAAGAGGAGTGGGACAAAATCCCTTCTGAGATGTGTGCAAACTTGGTGGCCAGCTACAAGAAACGTATGACCTCTGTGATTGCCAACAAGGGTTTTGCCACCAAGTACTAAGTCATGTTTTGCAGAGGGGTCAAATACTTATTTCCCTCATTAAAATGCAAATCAATTTATAACATTTTTGACATGCATTTTTCTGGATTTTTGTTGTTGTTATTCTGTCTCTCACTGTTCAAATAAACCTACCATTAAAATTATAGACTGATCTTGTCTTTGTCAGTGGGCAAACGTACAAAATCAGCAGGGGATCAAATACTTTTTTCCCTCACTGTACAGTTTGGACACACCTACTCATTCAAGGGTTTTTCTTTATTTTTACAATTTTCTACATTGTAGAATAATAGTGAAGACATCAAAACTTTTAAATAACACATATGGAATCATGTAGTAACCAAAAAAGTGTTAAACAAATCAAAATACAGTATATTTTAGATTTTAGATTCTTCAAAGTAGCCACCCTTTGCCTTGATGACAGCTTTGCACACTCTTGGCATTCTCTCAACCAGCTTCACCCGGAATGCTTTTCCAACAGTCTTGAAGGAGTTCCCACATATGCTGAGCACTTGTTGGCTGCTTTTCCTTCACTCTGCAGTCCAACTCATCCCAAACCATCTCAATTGGGTTGAGGTTAGGCGACTGGGGAGGCCAGGTCATCTGATGCAGCACTCCATCACTCTCCTTGGTCAAATAGCCCCTACACAGCCTGGAGGTGTGTTTTGGGTCATTGTCCTGTTGAAAAACAAATGATAGTCCCACTAAGCGCAAACCAGATGGGATGGTGTATCGCTGCAGAATACTGTGGTAGCCATGCTGGTTAAGTGTGCTTTGAATTCTAAATAAATCACTGACAGTGTCACCAGCAAAGCACCCCCACATCATCACACCTCCTCCTCCATGCTTCACGGTGGGAACCACACATGCAGAGATCATCCATTCACCTTCTCTGCATCTCACAAAGACACGGCGATTGGAACCAAAAATCTCACATTTTGGACTCATCAGCCCAAAGGACAGATTTCCACCGGTCTAATGTCCATTGCTCGTGTTTCTTGGCCCAGGCAAGTCTCTTCTTCTTATTGGTGTCCTTTAGTAGTGGTTTCTTTGCAGCAATTCGACCATGAAGGCCTGATCCTCTGAACAGTTGATGTTGAGATGTGTCTGTTACTTTATTTGGGCTGCAATCTGAGGTGCAGAGGTAACTCAGTGTCTTCTTTTCCTGTGGCGGTCCTCATGAGAGCCAGTTTCATCATAGCGTTTTTGTGACTGCACTTGAAGAAACGTTCAAAGTTCTTGAAATGTTCCGGATTGACTGACCTTCATGTCTTAAAGTAATGATGGACTGTCGTTTCTCTTTGCTTATTTGAGCTGTTCTTGCCATAATATGGACTTGGTCTTTTACCAAATAGGGCTATCTTCTGTATACCACCCCTAACTTGTCACATCACAACTGATTGGCTCAAACGCATTAAGAAGGAAAGAAATTCCACAAATTTACTTTTAAGAAGGCACACTAGTTAATTGAAATAAATTCCAGGTGACTACCTCATGAAGCTGGTTGAGAGAATGCCAAGAGTGTGCAAAGCTGTCACATCAATGCAAAGGGTGGCTATTTGAAGAATCTCAAATATAAAATATATTTTGATTTGTTTAACACTTTTTTGGTTACTACATGATTCCATATGTGTTATTTAATAGTTTTGATGTCTTCACTATTATTCTACAATGTAGAAAATAGTAAAAATAAAGAAAAACCCTTGAATGAGTAGGTGTGTCCAAACTTTTGACTGGTACTGTTTATATATATAAATATATTTCCTGAGCTTTCGTATATCTCGTAGATATAGGACAGACACTTTTTTTTGTCATTTATCAATGCGTTTCTATGGGCTTTAGTAGTAAAGGCCAGATTAAATAAAAAAAATTATACCTAAAGGTATCCTACAATTCAAAATCAAATAGCTAAATGATCCAAGGTATGACCTTCTTTAAAACAATTCCATATGTCAAACTTTTAAGAATTAAATAATGAAAGAAAAAGCTAAATGTAGCCTATAGATATAAACTGCACAAGAATTGGTGAATTTTTAAAGGTATTTTCTCTCTTTACTCAACCGCCTACCACCCACCCGCCCTTCATCCAGACATTTTTTCATTACCTTAAGCCCACCCGCCCGAAGGATATAACCGCAGCGACTGCGGGTTATGAGTCAACCTGCGCATCACTAACCTGTACTGCCAGTGGACTGCTGTACGTCTCAGTTACCTGCATTACCTTTAGTTACCACAGTTACAAGTTATACCATGCAGACCGCATCTTTTGCCTAGTTTATATCTTAGAAACAACGAGTAGGTCTATATTGTTTTTCGTTGCTTTACAAAGTAATTTAAAGCACAGTAAATGAACAGTTCCTTAGGTTATGATTGGTTGCTCAGCCTTTCTTTCATATTCAGCCAGGCCAATGTGTTTATAACCCTGCTAGTCTCATTCCCAACCATAACATGCTCTATCACTACTCCACAGGTGCTGGTTGCCAGTTTGTGTGATCCTGTTGATTGGTCCCCAAGGTATTAATTTCAAGTAGTCACTTAGTATTGTTGTTTGCCTTTGCAAACACAGCATATTGAATTGATATCATAGTGTCAGATGGATTCATTGGAGGCTAATTTGTATGTCTCTGTTCTGAAGTCTCTTCGCAGGTCAAAGTTGAAGGCTTCAAGGGAGATCATGTTATCTTGCCTTGCACATATAAGGCACTTAAAAATGTCAAAATTTTTTGGCAATACGCAGATGACGTGAATGTCTACTATATTATCAATGGAAAAGCAGAATTGTCCAAGCAACACCGTCAGTTCATAAACAGAACCAGTATGTTCTCTGATGAGTGGGCAAACGGCAACTTCTCTCTCTTACTGACTGATCTCAATGGCACAGATAGTGGGTGTTATTCATGTTCCATACCATCACCGAGCATTCAACGCCAAGTGTACCTTTCTGTCGAAGGTTTGCAGTTATGCTCTTTCTTGCCTCATGTGTTGCATTTCCTTCATGTGTTGCATTTCCTTCATGTGTTGCATTTCCTTACGTTATTCACAAGTGTAACATAACTGTTTTGATACCTGCATAGCCTGCATTTATAGACAATTGACAATTGACTAGACAATTCATAGAGAATGCTCATGATTCAGCCTTTGCTTATCTATACAGTATTGGAATTTCCATTAACAGTTTTAAGAAGTTGATGATACAGTATGATAACTCTAAGGAAAATGTCCCTCTTTATTTTACAGAGAAACCAACTCCTGAGCCTAAACCAACTCCAAGTAGCAGCAGCGTTAGCATCAGAGTACAGAAATTCATCCCCTTCCTGTTTCTCCTCCTCAGTCAAACGCTCCACCTTCTTTGACCCACAGCATAGAAATTGGTCATTGTGCCATTTAATGTGGCTGTGTTTTGCAACTTCTGTGTGTTCAAACGGCTGAAAGACTTCTCTCTATATGCATGAAATATGAAACTGCAAATATAGGCTACCGCTTGCTAGAACTCTTTGTAGAGGTGGTGAGTAAATGCATAATGTTTTTTAAAACCTGGGTCATCTGTTAAATCAAAATAGGAAATAGGATTGAAATACGATTGTGTAGTGTGCCGCTCCTGTCAATACATTTTCAATTACAAGGCTATTAAAATATTTCAATATCACGTGATAAGTATTGTACTGCCATTTAACAGTCATTTTGGTGAGAACTTGAGATTGAACATAATCATGTGTTGTTTTTTTGTTGTAGTTTTCAGTCAACCTTTCAATTAGCAATTTATTTTTACTAAGACACAACAGTTGGGCTACAGGTGATAATGCTTTTTGCTAGTATGATATTTGATTATATGGACCATGCATAGGCTATATGCATGGTCCAATATGTTAAAATAGTTGTGACAAATAATTTTACCAATATGTTATTGGGCACATTTCTGTATGTGGAAATTGTGTAGTCCCCAAACCATCACACCACCACCACCATGCTTGACCTTTGGTATGATGTTCTTACTGTGGAATGCAGTGTTTGTTTTTCGGGAGGCATAATGGGACCCATCTCGTCCAAAGAGTTGACTCAAGTTTGCCAAAAAGCACCTGGATGATCATCAAGACTCTTGGAAGGACGTTCTATGGACAGATTATTCAAAAGTATAACTTTTTGGACGACATGGTTCCAGTAATGCCTGCCGAAAACCAAACTCTGCATTCCACAGTAAGAACATCATACCAAAGGTCAAGCATGGTGGTGGTGGTGTGATGGTTTGGGGGATGCTTTGCTGCCTCAGGACCTGGATGACTTGCCTTAATAGAAGGAACCATGAATTCTGCTCTGTATCAGAGAATTCTACAGGAGAATGTCAGACCATCCGTCTGTGAGCTGAAGCTGAAGCACAGCTGGGTCATGCAGCAAGACAATGATCCAAAACACACAATCAAGTCTACATGAAAATTGCTAAAAAGCAACAAATTGGAAGTTTTGGAATGGCCTAGTCAAAGTCCAGACCTAATCCCAATTGAGATGTTGTGGCAGGACTTGAAACTAGCAGTTAATGCTTGAAAACCCACACGTCACTGAGTTAAAGCAGTTCTGCATGGAAGAGTGGGCCAAAATTCCTCCACAGCGACGTGAGAGACTGATCAACAACTACAGGAAGCATTTGGTTGGAGTCATTGCAGCTAAAGATGGCACAACCAGTTATTGAGTGTAAGGGGGCAATTACTTTTTCACACAGGGGAATTGGGTGTTGCATAACTTTGTTTATGAAATAAATATGTAATTGTTGTGTTATTTGTCCACTTATGTTCCCTTTATCTAATATTAGGTTTTGGTTGAAGATCTGATAACATTCAGTATCACAAATATGCAAAAGTAGAGAAAATTAGAAAGGGGGCAAATACTTTTTCATAGCACTGTATGTAAAAAAATAAAAAGAAGACTTTGTTGACTTACTGTGTGAGGTGAAGAAAAAAATGAATGAGAAGCTCAGCTTATTAGTGGTGGACATGGTGAATGAAGACAATTTAAATTATACTCAAGACACATTATCTTCACACGTATTTTAGATGCTTTTCACTGACAGCCGCAACTCAATCAGGAAGGCCTATTGCCACGCCCGCTGCCCAAATTGCAGCCTTCCCAAATATGCACTTGTGATTTGAAATAATCCATGTTTTATTTTATTTAAAGAAGCTATTGATGCATTGTGGCATAGCTCTCTGGCATAGCGCAGGAAGTATTTTGTGGGTGGGGGTGGTTTTTTGGTGTTTTTTGGCCCAGGCTGAAGATGTCTATTTTGGTCAGCTAATACAGGACTAGTAAAGGCCCAGCGCACTTCTTTAATGATTTTATTTTACTAACTGTATTTGAGTGTTTACCAGCATTTGTTAGTTGAGTCTGATAATTATCTGTACAAAACAGTACTGATAATACTTATGGAATATAAAATTAGTGTTTTCCAGTTTCTTGAAATAGTAAGCAAATGCAATTTATTTCTATGTGAAAACGGTCTACTCATTCCTTATTAGTAGACACTTTTATCCAGAGCAACTTACAGTAGTGAGTGCATACATTTTCATACTGGTCCCCTGTTGGATTTGAACCCACAACCCTAGCATTGCAAACACCATGCTCTACCAACTGAGCCACAACACCACATCATCACAAACCACTTGATGTCTCAAATGTACTCAATTACTGTATTGTGCATTGTTTTTCTTCATGGTGATGGAAAGTCTATGGGTACAAACCTAGATGAGCAGCCTATGTACAATACAGTAATGTACAATTATATGAAGTGGTTTGTAAGGATGGTAAATTAATATTGCACAAAAAGTGGTTGTTTTCCATGTTATTTGATCAAGAAAAATATTTAATTTGATGTGGATGTTTTGTGTCTTTGTCCATAACTTTGCACCTTTTAATGTAAATGTTTGAGGACAGGGTTTTGTTCTTTCTGTATCCATTAGCATGACAATCACAGAGAAAGGGACAGGGCAACAACTCTTACAATTCCAACTATTAAATCCTGCAAGATACTGTTCTTAATTATACAACAACCTTTTTTGCCAAAGTAGAGATGCTGAAAATATTCCCCCATGGGAATTGAACCCACAACCCTAGCATTGTAAGCATCATGCTCTACCAACTGAGCCACATCATCACAAACCACTTGATGTCTCAATGTACTCAATTACCAATGTGTAGATGCTGAAAAAAATATTTTGCTCCCGCTACAGATGTCTATATCTGTCTGCTAATACTAGTAAAGGCCCAGTGCACTACTTCTGCGAAAAAATGTTGTTTAAAAAAAGTATATATATACACAGTACCAGTCAAAAGTTTGGACACACCTACTCATTCAAGGGTTTTTCTTTATTTTTACTATTTTCTACTTTGTAGAATAATAGTGAAGACATCAAAACTATGAAATAACACATATGGAATCATGTAGTAACCAAAAAAGTGTTCAACAAATCAAATTTGATATTCTTCAAATAGCCACTCTTTGCCTTGATGACAGCTTTGCACACTCTTGGCATTCTCTCAACCAGTTTCACCTGGAATGCTTTTCCAACAGTCTTGAAGGAGTTCCCACATATGCTTAGCACTTGTTGGCTGCATTTCCTTCACTCTGCCGTCCGACTCATCCCAAACCATCTAAATTGGGTTGAGGTCCGGGGATTGTGGAGGCCAGGTCATCTGATTCAGCACTCCACCACTCTCCTTCTTAGTAAAATAGCCCTTATACAGTCTGGAGGTGTGTTGGGTCATTGTCCTGTTGAAAAACAATGTATAGTCCCACTAGGCCCAAACCAGATGGGATGGCGTATCGCTGCAGAATGCTGTGGTAGCCATGCTGGTTAAGTGTGCCTTGAATTCTAAATAAATCACAGACAGTGTCACCAGCAATGCACCCCCACACCATAACACCTCCTCCTCCATGCTTTACGGTGGGAAATACATATGCGGAGATCATCCGTTCACTCACATCGCGCCTCACAGACACAGCGGTTGGGACCAAAAATCTCAAATTTGGACTCCAGACCAAAGGACACATGTCCACCGGTCTAATGTCCATTGCTCGTGTTTCTTGGCCCAAGCAGGTCTCTTCTTCTAATTGGTGTCCTTTAGTAGTGGTTTCTTTGGACTGATTCACACAGTCCCCTCTGAACAGTTGATGTTGAGATGTGTCTGTGACTTGAACTCTTTGAAGCACTTATTTGGGCTGCAATTTCTGAGGCTGGTAACTCTAATGAACTTATCCTCTGCAGCTTGTGACAACACAACTGATTGGCTCAAACATATTAAGAAGGAAATACATTCCAGAAATTAACTTTTAAGAAGGCACACCTGTTCATTGAAATGCATTCCAGGTGACTACCTCATGAAGCTGGTTGAGAGAATGCCAAGAGTGTGCAAAGCTGTCATCAAGGCAAAGGGTGGCTATTTGATGAACCTCAAATATAAAATGTATTTTGATTTGTTTAACACATTTTTGGTTACTACATGATTCCATATGTGTTATTTCATAGTTTTGATGTCTTCACTATTATTCTACAATGTAAAAAATAGTACAAATAAAGAACAACCCTTGAATGAGTAGGTGTGTTTTGACTGGTAGTGTATATTTTTTTGTTCTTCTGATTGTTCAGCACCCCAACTTCCCGTGGCTATGCTCTCTGGTTAAGTATTTTGAATTATTTTATTTAGGCAGGAGTAATTTAATAATTTTGGCAAAACATCCATTTACTTTAGGGGAAGCCAGCAGCAGAACAGTGCACTGTGCAATCGCCAAATTTCCTTTCCAGTTCGCAAGAGGCTGAAACCAGAGATCTGTATATAACGACGAGACAATATGCTCATGTCTCCCCCAACAGTGTTGCAGTGTTTCTCTTGTCCTGATGTGTGTTTTGTCCTATTTGTAAGGCAGCAGCTACTCTTCCTGGGGTCCTGCAACATTAAGGCATTTATATACAATTTAAAATATTACATGACATTATATTTCATAACACTTTACCCAATACATTTAGTGTGTTCCCTCAGGCCACTACTCCACTATCACATATTTACAATACAACATCCATGTGTACGTGTGTGTAGAGTGAGTGTCTATATGTACAGTTGAAGTCGGAAGTTTACATACACCTTAGCCAAATACATTTAAACTCCGTTTTTCACAATTCCTGACATTTAATCCTAGTACAAATTCCCTGTCTTAGGTCAGTTAGGATCACCACTTTATTTTAAGAATGTGAAATGTCAGAATAATAGTAGAGAGAATGATTTATTTCAGCTTTTATTTCTTTCATCACATTCCCAGTGGATCAGAAGTTTACATACACTCAATTAGTATTTGGTAGCATTTCCTTTAAATTGTTTAACTTGGGTGAAACATTTGTAGCCTTCCACAAGCTTCCCACAATAAGTTGGGTGAATTTTGGCCCATTCCTCCTGACAGAGCTGGTGTAACTGAGTCAGGTTTGTAGGCCTCTTTGCTCGCACACGCTTTTTCAGTTCTGCCCACACATTTTCTATAGGATTGAGGTCAGGGCTTTGTGATGGCCACTCCAATACCTTGACTTTGTTGTCCTTAAGCCACAACTGTGGAAGTATGCTTGGGGCCATTGTCCATTTGGAAGACCCATTTGCAACCAAACTTTAACTTCCTGACTGATGTCTTGAGATGTTGCTTCAATATATCCACATAATTTTCCTTCCTCATGATGCCATCTATTTTGTGAAGTGCACCAGTTCCTCCTGCAGCAAAGCACCCCCACAGCATGCCACTCCCGAGTGGCGCAGTGGTCTAAGGCACTGCATAGCAGTGCCACTAGAGATCCTGGTTCGAATCCAGGCTCTGTCGTAGCCGGCCGCGACTGGGAGACCCATGGGGCGGCGCACAATTGGCCTAGCGTCGTCCAGGGTAGGGTAGGGGAGGGAATGGCAGGCAGGGATGTAGCTCAGTTGGTAGAGCATGGTGTTTGCAATGCCAGGGTT